CCGCTGTCTGGATACATTACGGCAAACCTAAATAATTATTAAAATTGCGCAGAACATGTAAGGCAGCTAGCTACTTGAAGCGCGGTTGAACCAGGAGTTACGTAAAGCAGATGATGTTATCTAACCAATTTCGGGCAGGCATGCGTATAGAAATCAAGACTTTCGCACGACGCAACCAGTATGTTATGTGAATTTTAAAGATCATTGCTGTGTTTCTTAAAATTGGGTTGCCGGCATCATACAAGAATATTTTGTGTATGCCTTATACTAGGTCCTTGTGAGATCCTCGCTGTGGAAGAGCCACAGTAACTAACTACGATGAAGGTTTTATCATAATCCACAGCGCGACGATTGATCTGTTTGTCCCGATCTTTGATTAGAGGCCTTTGAAATGGAATGGCACACTGCGCTGTAACGGCCTGTATCCTAGCCCTGATGACAGAAATATGCCCCAAAAGAAAAGACACAATTTGCGATTTAAGCGAAAGACAGGAACTTCGTTGCAGCTTGATCTGGACAGATGTTGTACTTCGTACATCCAAAAGAAAAAACCTGTTAGGAGGGTACCGTTTCTCGTGCGCAGGCCAGAAAAGCTCATAAGAATCACCTTCACTCAATCAGCGACACAAAATCCAGAAAGAACGGAGCTGAAGTTCAACCGGCCTGATGCCTACCACACCAGAATGATATCGGTCAACAGATCAGTGCATTTTTTGAAATAAATACTCAGGATGTAACGCCCATTCTGTTACTGTCAGCCGTGCAGTGTGAATACCACACCGGCGTTTGCTACACGTTTATTTCTCAGAATATATGCCGAATTTCAGCATACACACCTTGCTCGTTCTTCATTGCCGAAGGTTAGGCTACACTTTAAATCAGCCGTATCTGACGACATTATGGAAAATAGTTACTTACTAGTTGCATTTGTTAAAGACAATTTGTAAACATTTTCTTGTTTCTTCTAACACTGCTGCTATATTATTTCTTTATTCGGGCCCACTAATTTGTGGAACCAGTGAATGCGTTACAACCACCAAAATCGCTTGAAGTAATTCGGCGAAAGATGAATATGTTTAATAAGATAGGGGTGCAGATTTACGTTGTTACGCGCTCTTTTGCCGCACTAAGTTCTCCTGTATACGCCATGCGACATAAATATTAGCGTTATATAAATGTTAAGTGCCGCGAAATCGTTTTAAAATCATTGCTTCCATGATTGTTATGGTAAAACGAAACAAAGTGCGAATACCTTTACTGCCAGCACCACACACGTAAGAGCATGTTATTTGGAAACATAAAGGTTTGATTTATAGCGCACACAGCTTCTGGTTATCGGCTAGCAATTTATATTTAAACAGTTTCTTATATTTCAAATGTTACATGGTACACCTATCTTCACTAACAAACTTGCACCTGACTGCTGTGGGAACGCTTAATACCCATCAAACATTTAGAGGGAGAATCTTTTAGTGCACCTGAAAAAATACTTTCAGTATTTACAGCATTAGATTTCCATGCAATTTTTGCCACCTTATGTCAATTTGTTTTACTGACTGTACATTTGCTTTAACAAATTTCTCTGGTGGGTCAGTGTTCCACTTTCCTACGCCCTCGCTCATTCACTTCCTCTTGCATGCAGCCTCCAGAATCAGCATTGTGCCCGTGTGCCCCATATTTTCTACTTTTCCTATTCGTTGCTTCCGAGTTAAATAAGAGGCACAACCCCACAAACATTATGCATGCTTCGTAGCATTTCGCTGCTAATGCACGATATCACTGGGCTAGCAACTGTAATTTGAGACACCAGGATACCTTAGTTCAGCACACTATGCGCTCGACGGAAAGACGTGTTATTTATATTCATTTATCTTTTGGTGTCGTAATTCCTAAATGCATACTTGTCAAAAATACTTGCTAAAGGTTCACTATATAATAATAGTATACGGCAACAAACTTATTAACGTTGTCTGCTTAAAATACCAGTTTCGTTGGCTCCGTTACACATTAGAAAATAACTCACAAACTCGATAGATTGACGGTACTATTAAGGAGCCTAAATATTATTTATAACGTTCGGCAATCTAGAACTTTTTCAATTAGGCCGCAATAAAAATTACGTCACTTAATTTTCGAATCACTGCGATAAGTGAAATATTTCTGGTCTTATAATAGCTTACCACTAAAGGTGTCCTTAATAATGTATGCCCACAGCGCAAAAACAATAAAAGTTTCCAGTAGATTGACAAATGAATTGCTCATTTTAACTATCCGTTTTAAACTTGGACGACCAAGTGCGACGAATTTTGAATGATCTTCAGTTTACCAGAAAAAGGTTTAAGTAAACATGTAACATAAATGCATTTTTCTCTTCGCATTCCCGTCCGGACTCGCGGGAATCGCTTTCGTATTTGCAATGACGCAGTGCTGATTAACTAATGACCCTAAGGAAATTTTTTCTAGCATAATTTCCTTCCAAAGGCTTCTAACTGATACTATAAGACGCATAGGATGCAGTCACGCAGGGAAGCTTCATAATAAATCGCGATTCTGGAAATGAAATGTTAATAAATGTGGCGATTTCTGAAGTAGACCGATAAGGTTGGTGATGTAAGTAACTATTCGTTGTCATGCTTCAACATATTAACACTGAGATTCACCCATGCAATTGCGCAAGTAACATCTTTTGCAGAAGCATTGAGGCACAATTAGTTCGGTGGATATGCCTATGATGTACCGAAAAGGTATTAGCCAATAGAAATGGTCCCTATGTACAGCGCATCAAGAAAAAAGGACACAAGGTCAAATACAAGAGAAAAGTAGCACCAAACGTTTAAGCCACTTTCAATGTGTGAACAGTTTTTGGACTTTAGGCAAAATATGTAACAAGCATGGGAGAATAACCATTGTATTCGAAAAGAAACAGATAAGATGGAATAGAAATCCAATAGAACGAATGGCAGAAAGTTGTGGATATTGTTCTTTTCGTCCGAACTTTGTGTCGAGGTTTTGTTTCGGGCAATTATTCGGCCTATATTGAACAGTTATCATGCCGTCTTGGTTAGCGCTCTATGTGTAAATGAGATATTTGTATAGGCACAATCAGCGAATTTTAAATAGAATGTCTAAAATCAATAATGTGGTGGCAGCCCCTAATAACGTTCAGCCCTACTCACATTGTAGATGATTGGACCCCACATGACATCCATAGAAACTATTTTAACCCATTATTAAAAATCTGTTATTATCGATATATATTTCTGGTATATATTCTTGTAGACTTTTTAATCACGTGGGGACCGAGAAACATCTTCATACGACGTATATTCCCTCGGTCCTCAATAAGTTCGATTTCGACCTACTTTGTTTTAATATTCGATTTGCGATAAAAAAGAATCGTGTGTTTCTTCCTTTTGGCAATTCGGAGCTACTTCAGTTCCAATTACAATAGGAACATTTTGTTACCATAAGGTTGCAACATCCATATGTGTCGACTGACATTCATAGCAAACTCTTTCAATCTGCATTATCTTAGAGCTTGTATGCTATGATAAACAGTCAAACAAAGCATTATTTAAATTGATTAAATAAGTGCATTTATTTAATGACGACCACTTGAACACAGAACATACTAGCATACCAAAATGTTGGTCTTATAAAGCTCATAGATTTTATAAAGAAATATGAAGCGTATATCAAGTAATGAATTAGTCATTTCACGAAGGACAGGTTCATTGGAAACTAAAGTAAACTAGTTTTCACCGAATCATAAATAAACAATTTCTTTTGTCAGCCTGACTTCTTGTTTACCAATAATTTGTGCATCTCTATGAAAAATGTAGGAGCATTCCGTTTATTTTAAAAACATGGAACCCTTTAAACGATAACTTGCATTAAAACAAAAACTGCATACGCCAATTGCAATCGTTGATTTAATTATAGCAGGAATCAATTGCAAATATCCACGAACTTTGGCTAATTATTATGGCTAGACATTCTTGGGCTTTAGAAGTATTCCGCTATTTAATGATTGCTTTGGCCTTGACTGACAGACATGTATTGCTATAGTGACTTATTTAAAATAACAGCTGCCGGTTTACCATTGTTACATATACTAACGACAATTCACTTGCTACCAGTTCAGCTAAGCGCTACAAGGGATTTGGGAATTTCTTCAAAATTGTGAAAGGATACTCTTCTGTTCATATTGTTAACGTCAACTGGAAATTAGACATTGTAAATATTACTCACACTGAAAGCAGAACTATTTTATATGGTACTTAATTATCTTTTATTCCAAAGAGTTAAAACAGTAGGATAATTATCCAGCACCAATTGCGTCCAAAATTTGACCCACGGTGTGCACACATTTGCTTAAGCGCAAAACTGCAGACATTCCGAATTATAATATAGTGACAATGTAAAAATATATGTGCTTAATTATTGCGTGTTGAATTTAGGCGCATACATTACTCGTCCTTTACAGCTAGGACAACAGACATGAGGACATATTCGGTTTTTCTAGCATCAATGATCAGTTATGTGACAAGTACAGCACCAAAATTTTGAAATACTCGCACTACAAGATTTGCTTAATGGATTAGCAAACCTTAACAACAAGTCAGCAGTTAGTTTGGCCAAACGTTTTTTACTAGTTATCAGCTATCGATTCTAGTTGTTTCTCAATAAGTAGGACTTTAATTTAAACGCATCTCTTAATTTATAAATACTGATTTTCTGCGTTTAGTTAGCAGTAAAATGTTTACAGCACTTTTAACTTGAAGCAGTACAGGTAGGCAACAGTTTCCTTTCAGTTTGAAATTTATCAGGGTTTCAATACTCCACACTTTTAGGGGTGAAAAGAACATAATTTGTTTATTTAATGCCAAGTATTAGTAACATTTGCGTAAAGATTTTTTTCATATTTATAAGTAGTAATTTGTCGGCCGCATGATATTTCAAGCTCAAATTTCTGTTGCTTCAACAATAACTAAACTTACCCTGGAAATGTGTAACCAAGCCGTTGTATTTGCATCCTTGTTGATTGAAGGCGAATAACATTTTACGATGTGAGTCAACATAATTTGGATGGTCAATCAAATAAACCGGTATGGTAGATTTTAATAGGTGCAAGGAATATTTGCCTGCGCCTTGTGGCGCATTAAGGTAAGCTTGTCGATCACATGTGGAAAACATTTCCGCGTAATCTTCTTGGTAGTATTCCCTTACCTATTTTAAATGAAGTGAAAAAACGTTAGCGCACTATCGCTAAAAACGTTAATTTTTGGAAACATCTACAACAAGGTATTTTTTAAATATGTCATTAATAGCTATGGATATAAGATTCAACTGACTGCAGTTGTAATCTTAACAGGATCAACTTTTCACATATATTCGCTTGCTAACATTGATGGTAGTTATTTGCACGTGGTGGGGTGCACATTTATTCAGTCGACAAAACGAATACTGCTAGTAAAAAGCAATAAGACTATCCACTTTAGGCAAACATTGAATCCTAAATGTACAATAGATATTTAATCAGAGCAAAACGTATATGAAATCATCGCAGTGCCTATAAACAAGTAGAGAGAGCGACGCTGCATGTGTAATGGCTTATGACTAGAGAAGTTTTCTAAGTATTAGATATTTAAAGTATTGCTTCTGCATTCTTCATGGCACTAAACGTAAACTGGCGCGGTAAAAACATGGCTGTGTTTTTCTAATTATATAAACTATATATATTTATAACACTGGGAATATATGTAGCGAAATAACACACTAGGTAAAAGCGGCATTACATACAAAGACCCAGTTACTTAGTGAGGGGGTAGTGAATTTAAGCTAGACGTAGCAGAGTAAACATACGGTAACATTTTTGCCATGGCGTACCCGCCGTGTGTATGAATTGCAGCAGAAAATAAGTGGCATATTGTCCACTTAAGCTAACCTCTGGCTATTTCGGGCAGTAGACATGATTTAGGAATGAGTTTTTACTGTGATTACATAAGTTATACAAAAAGCGTTACTGCGGCAGGAGCAAAGTTAATGCTCCATATTTCCCATAAACATTATCTCAGGCTGCAAGCGCGGATAACTTAACAAACGAAAATGTCAATTTGTTAACAACTATTGCTATGGTAACCGGCTAAAACACATTCGGGTAGTTAAAGTATTGTTGACGTTCATTTCTTAAGAATGACGGCTAGCCTGTTGATTTGTTAGTGCTCAAATAATTATGCTCTACAATTGCAAGCATGACTTGCAACAGCGTATGTATGTTAGTACACAAAACCGCCAAGCAAATTATGAAGTCGCAACCAGCTTCATACATTTATTGAAGTGTAGTCGTCTTTTATGTTAAGCAATGTGTTAAATTTTGCAACGCATCATAAGCTTTTGTGATATAGTTTGCATTGTATGGCAAATCAGTTAGAAGCGTTTGGCGTGTTCTTACTTGCACTCACGATGTTACCAAAAGCAGCGACAAATGTGAGGCTTATTAGAAGCATCTTTGCGGATTAGTGGTATTTGGCACCAATAAAAATGAAATGCTACGTCGTGGTAGACGCCCTTTGCAAAAAGTCAAAAGGATCACGCGCAGATTTTGCCTACATTGGTGTTTCTACGGTTAACCTTATATAGTCTAGCTAGGCATGAATTTATAGGTTAGGTTCTATTTAAGATACTTTTAATTAAACTAGGCTATTTTTATATAATGTACGGTTCATCTTTTGGCTAGCCTTTCCTCATGGTAGTGTTGTGTTTGTCAAGCTATTAGTTCCAGTCCTCCAATTAGACTAAGTATATTAGTGCTTTCGTCCAGGTTACTCCGTAAACAGTCCATTGATGCATGATTTCCATTATGTTTGTTCCGGCACGAATAATTGTAGGTTGAATTGCATCCCATAGTTTTTGCTTGCACCGTCAGCTCCCTTGATATTCGCATAATTTATTTTGCCATTTGCACTTTCCTCAAACCTTACAACAACTTTAAATATCACACCCGCTTCCTGATATTTCGTAGGTACGCCCACATGTTGCGATGGCTTACTTGAAGTCCAAATGAATTAAACCAAGTGCTCTAAGCGTTTTTTTCCGTTGGAAAATGCTGTAAAGCATTTACTTGTTAAATATATTAGTTGTAGCCCGCTTCTAACTGCTCAAGCCAATTTATCAAGTATCCCCGGTCCCCTGCACTTTTGGACTATGAGTAGATAGAAATCTTTTTTATGTGCGGAACCCTGTTCTCAACAGCCGAGAAAATTGTAGTTTTTGATGGCTCGGTAGCCTTTCTCATCAGTGAGCAATGAATTTATACGGGTTAAGAGGTGTTGGTTTACCAGTCATGTTGGATTGTTGGTGGGAATATCCACAGAAAAGTAATGATAATAATAAGAGTAAAACAGTTGGTACCTCAAATATAATAACAAGGACTTATCTTTTGCTCCGCCGTCGTCCTGCAATCCGCTAAGGTTTACAGCATCCGCAGTTAACATCAAATAATTCCATGATAAACACAACGTGTATGTTGGAGACGAAGTGCTAATTAACAAATTGTAATTGGATGGGTGCGTCATCCAACCGTCTATTAAATACTGTTAGTGTCGGTGCAGAGACTACCGATCCTAGAAAAGCGTTCCATGGGTTACAGATATGAATGGAACAAAATTTTCTCCGGCACCCTGGTGGCTATACTGTACAGCGATGCTCAACGAGTGGCCCCTCAGATGTGTATTGCTGCTAAATTGCATTATGATGCAGGTCTCACAGAATCAAGTATGCCATAATCTTGTCACCTCTTAATGTACGATAGCTTCCACAGATAACGTTAACCGTTGCAGCCTCCCCTGGTATGAAAGATTGCCTATTCTGATTACGTTATTAGATGCCCTCCGCTATGGCGGCTCCAGTGCAGTAAGGTCATGTTTCAGCCATGGATTCCGGAATTGAATTGTGTAGTTGACATGGAGGTGAACATACGCACTAAGCATTTGTCTAAATATGGAGTTGTTTTTTTGTCCAAATGCCCGGCGCAACAGCCCGACCTGTTGGTTCCTAGTCGTCTTGGTCATTTCGCATTGCATGAAACAACCAAAGTCATCTTAAACCAGGACACCCAACTCACGTTCGAGAGTTGATCGATGAAGTACATATGTACCGAGGCGGTATGACTAGGTGCTCTGATGTCGGATACAAGGAAACTTGCACTAACTGACTTTGCACTACAGTATGTTTTGGGTTGAAAATTGATAAGCCGTATCCAGGTCACTCTGAGGCACATGTTGGTCGGTGTTCGTCTGGAACCTGCGCCAGGTCTTGATATCTTCACTAAACATCAAGAAGCTTGTAGCGATTCACTGTTTAATGTCATTAATAAACACCAGAAAAAAGGTGTACCTAGAACTGAGCATTGCGGCGCACCAAGCTCGACTTGTATGGGGTCCGATAAAGAGCTCCGAACTCGGACAACTACTTGTCGTTAAATTAGAAATTTAAAAACGCAGCTAAAATGTGAAACGCCGAAGCCGTAATACCAGGGTTTGGAAAGTACTTTTTAATGGTAAAGCCGATCGAAAGCCTTGGAAAAATCCAGGTAGGCCCATCAAGGCCTTCTCCAGCTTCAGCTGCCTTGGATTAACTACCGTGTGATAATAGTAAATTCGTCGCACATGACCGCTGTCTACGGAAACCGTGCTGCTCAGGCTTGATGATGTTCCAGTTTTCCTGATGTTATACCAGTGGTCTGAAACTATAGATTCCATGACCTTGGGGAGTATAGGAAGAAGGAATATTGGGTGGTAGTCTGAGGAATCAGTTCTGCTTCTACATTTGTAAATCAGAGTTAATATTCCAAGGTTACACGTAGCGTAAACTTGATCCTGGTCTAAGCAGCGCTGGAAAAACTGAAATATAGGTTCAGCCAGCTGACTTGCTTTTGCTTCTAGAGCCTCTGGAGAAATGTTGTCGACACCAGTCAAACGGTGTTTGCACAGATTTTTAAGCTTTTGCAATACAGCCACCGACGTAAAAGTGATGTGCAGAGAGGAGGATAAAGTTTATACATCGCTTGATGGTAAGGCCATTGAAATGTAGGTGCATATTGTAGCCGCAACGCGTTTGCTGCTTCCGCAGCCGTCCTTGTTGGGCCATCAGCCGTCCTGAGTGGAGCAAAATCCTTGCCTCAATTTTCTTAGGCTAATGAGGTGCTGGCACATCAAAATGAGTTGGAATATTGGTAGCTTGGGATACTTGCTCGGTTGTTGTGGGGTTTCCTGAGCTGAACAACTTGGCGGCAAACGTTTCGCCACCATTCGAGGTGGCATCTTCAGTGCGAGATTGATAGCACTTAAGGAGCAGTAGCTGGTAGAAAGCAAAACCCAATAATGGATCATTATTGGGCTTTGCTTTCTACCAGCTACTGCTACTTAACTGCTATCAATCCCGCACTGAAGATTCCACCTCGAATGGTGGCGAAACGTTTGCCACCAAGTTGCCTAGCTCGGAGAATTCCACAACAACTGAGCTGGTACATTAGTTTGTTGTTAGCACTAAATGCATTGCTATGTTGTGCTGTTAGGCAGCTTTGCTTCTCTTAGTGTGTGAATTGGTTACGTTAGGCTACGTAGTTGATCCAATTTCCCGGTGGCTGGGGCTTCTATTTTTACTCGCAATGCTGCGTTGAATACCGTCATGCAATTTCGAGTCCTGCACCTAACGAAAGAAACTGATAAACACATATTAAAATCATTTGTCTCCGAATTCGCTGCATTTAGCTGACTGGATTTGTTGATTAAATAGAGCCAGGCAACGTCTCGGTGGGTTCTTCATCAAGGAATGACCACGTTGTGGCGCTGAAGAGCTGGGCAAATCCATCGTAGCTTGTGATGGTTTGCACGGACTCATTTTACTTATTCTGATATTCTGCCTAACAGACGCAGTTGAAACTGATCACTACGTGTTTAGTGCGACAAAAAAGCAGTCTAATATAAACGCTTTAATCACATGCTCCTCTTGGGTAAGCCCAAGCTCCAACACAGATACCCGTTACCTCCTCTGGACTGAGTGGGCAAAGTAATATGACTGTAAAGAGGCTTAGAATTATTATCCAATCATGTACTTTCAAAGCACCAATGATAAGTATGTGAGTGTACTTTCGCTATAAAAGTCACCATAAAGCAGCTGCTACGTGGCCGTCTGTGTCGGGTATACAGTAAGTTGGACGATACTCCAAGACAATAAAGCAAGCGTCCCTGCCGACCAACTGCAAGCGGCACAAAAGAGATTCGCGTAACTGCGAGTCTGGTGTATTCACGGCATCATACGGCAAAACGCTTCGGTAATACAAGATAACTACTCCTGCATTTGTAATCCCGTCTTTCTGAAGCAGCGACCAGCTTGGTAGCGAAACTTCTGAGTCCGTCTTTCCCGTGTGCAACCACTTCTTGTTGATAACCATGACTTCATATGACCCAGATGCTAAGCAATCTATCAGTTTGGTCAGATTATTAAAAAGACCCTGAGCATCCGTATACAAGCAGACCATTTTCTCAGTCTCTAGAAGCCCACAGAAGGAGGAAGGGGTCCAGTGTGGGAGAATGCTGACCGATAGGAGATCGGCAGTTACTGCTTTTTGCTGAGATAATGATACATCGTTTGCAACTTGATTCGGCCAAAGTGGTCCTAACATTTGTTTACACTTACATCACAGTCAATTAAAACAGCATTCAATTTACGCCTCTATACATTCGTCGGTATGCTTGCTGCTTCAGATTCCTTAATGTGGGAGCTGTACAATCCTTCTGCAAGCTTCACCCGAAGTTCAGAATGTAGACTTTACCGAATTCTCCGCCGTCGATCTAAAACATCCGTTGTTTGTTGCTCTGACTGAATCACAGGTTTCATAATTCTTAGGCGGCATCCTCTATAATTTGGTGAGGGTGGTACCCGAGTGAGTGATAGCGCTACAATATTATCCAAAGAGAGTTTGCACGAATGAAAGCTTTCCAGCCTCTTAAACATCTTTAGAAGTAGATTCTGGCACACCATGTTTAAATATTGTGTTTAGGCGGTGCTGCATGTTGTGCCTCTCTTCGGTGTTGTTTTTTGATTGCAACTCACCCATAGTGACATAAGGATAGATACGTATCCCACAGGATCCGTTTTTATTTCGCTTGCGAAGAGCAAAACGTTTTCTACTTCGGTGGAGAAATCTAGTTTTACTCGAAAAAGTTTGTGTTCTCCATGATGTGTGGAGTTTGGATGACCGGTAATGCGTAATAAATTCATGGGCTTGGCTTTAACCCTCATCAACACGCAAAATGGGTCCCATTGGTATTGGTCATTTGATAACATATCCCGCAATGTGAAGGCGGTAGGTTTAGGGACATTTAAATATACAACAACACGGGCACTATTGTTGGATCCGTTTTTCGTTGATCTACAAGATACGGTACTCGTTTGTGTTAACCTGCTGACTAGTGTTGATTGTTTGCTGTTTGTCCCACTGTTTGCTTTAAGGTGGTTTATATCAAAATGGATCGCAACGGCAGCCACCCGGCAGACCTTTGCAGCAATCTCTGCATATGTAACTGTGGTTCCGGGGTGCTTTGTCTCGACAAAATATATTTGGGCTACAGGTACTGTGGGTTGGTGTTCGGCTGGTTTTTCCTTGTTAATGATATATGTCACGTCTAGGAGAATTTGATAAATCAGACGTTTTGATTGGTACCTGAATTTCGTTGCCGTGAGTAAAGTTTGAGTATAGTAAGTGCAGTCTGTTTTAGGTCGGCGATCTACCAAATTTGGTGAAGACAACGGAGATGGGGACGTTGATAATTACGGTTCAGGGGAAGCGGATTGTGCAGCATTCCGCTGCTTAGAGGCCGCTATGCTTGGGTGGTGCCTACTCGCTTCCATTAAAGTAATCTTATCATTTATCCTATGCTTGGCTTCCGCGTTTAACCATTCGCAATTCTAAGCTAGATAAGCAAGCACTTAACCAGTGGGATAGTGGATCACGCAGTACAGAACCAAAATGCAGCTTGGGAGCTATTATGCTCTCATACCTCTTATGGGGACACATGTATTTTTCGTACGATACCATTCAAAACAGTGCGAGCAAGCCAGACCGATTTTCAATAATCAATGACATTCTCTTAAGCCGTAAACGTCTTTTGCTTGGAGCCTTTCTGGTTTCTCATTTCTGCCATTCAACTTGCTGTTTTACGTGACCCAGTGGGTTGGTTGTCGTTCTGCACTTTTCCAGCTTTGAGAGCGAAGCAAATCGGTCAGGCGAGCGTGGTGGTTGCAAGGTCAAAGTGTACCTTGGGATATGACAACTGCATGTTTCCATCATGAATAATAAATGGCTAATTTATCGGAGTACGGCTTTAAATCCTTTGATGCAGATTATTAAAATGGAGCAATTTGGAACTATATGCGTACTTGTAACCAAGCTGGATCGGTAATGCAAGCATACATTGCCATTTGCGTCGCTTTTCATGCAAGCTTGCGCACAGGATTTTGTCTTGCATAGTGACAGTATTTTAAGTCGAAAACTTTGGCTCATTTAAATAGCAAATATTTTCATCTACACATCGAACTACTATTAATCTCAACGGATGCCAAAATGCCCTATTATAACGAAATATAACTTACCTTTCTGCAGACATCTTCATTAAGTGGGCCCGTAAAATACAACGCTGCATAATGGTGCAGAAAAAGTAAATGAGTTTTGCTTCTTAATTATTACTAGAATAGTAACTGTCATAATGCGTACAAAATCATGCTTATTCTTAAATTACTGTTCTTCAAATTCGAACGTCCTAATTGATAAACCTGTTGTTATGTATATACATTTCCAATTTACTCCATATGCTCATTTAGCGCGTAATTTTGTCGTCATATACCTTTACCATATTCTATATCTTTCATTGGATATCGGCATTTGGAATGATTGGCTGTGGCTGCGCTTGTGTTGCAAGTTGACATGGTGTCTACCTGTCTATTACCCACTACCTCATCCATACTGGATCCAAGAAACTGATGGACGTTACCGAGGGGGGCCGGGTTCAGGTTTTACGGTCCTTGTGATCGTGCTAAGCTCGAAGTGTGTTTGCATGCATTCAGTGTGTAGCGGACTGTGGTCCAGCCAAGGTCTTGTGTTCACATGATTCCCCAACTACAGAGAGCTTGCGTTTGCCTGTTAATAAGCGTGGGCCGGCTTCGTTGATGAAACCTGGTTCCCATCCACATGCCACCCGGACTTATTCCTTCGGGTTTATAATGGAAATGGGGTATGTGGACGAAGCTTGGTTAATAAAGCTCAAGCCATCCTTGGTCCCACTGTATGCGCAGGCGTCTTGTGGCTGGCGGCAGTGACAGCAAAACGGAAACCGGATGCCGCCAACCATATGTGCAAACAGGAGACCTTAGATTCTATGGATAATGCAGACATCAATCTCTGCGTTCTAACACGATATGCCACTGGTGACTTACTTTGTATTATAGAGACCACAAGTTAATTACTTAACTCAGTCAAAACTACGGTTTCCTTACTAACTGATATCTGATTATGTGCGCCTCATCTTTAGATCTAATGTAGTTTTCTGTGATGTTTCCAAAGACCTGACAAACAAAAGACATTAGTAACGCTCTGCGCTCTGTTTATATGTACCATATACAAGGCCGAGCAAAAATGTTTACCACCCGTTTAGAAACAATTAAATGCACTAGCACTGCGACATTGTAATTATATACACTTAAGGGTTTGACTTGGTGTTAAAATTCCCAGGGTTTTAGCAACATGCCGATATCCGCCTTGTGATTCAATGAATTTAATCTGGACTCGTGTTTAGTCGACCTGTGCGGTCTCCTCAAACTTCGACAGCTGATGTTAACATTGTACTGTAATAACCCTGATTGATTTTATTTACATATTTCCACCATAATCATAGGTTTGTAAAACTCACCGCAGTATTCATTTCGCAGACCTTAAGAAATGAAATGCAGCTTAATTACTGACTTTGACCCCTTAGAATTCCAGTAAACGTAGAAAGAAATTAGGTATTTGAACTAAGGCGCATTTTAAAAGTAGACTTCAAAGAAAACAGGTTAATCGGTTAGCTTAAACCAAAACGAAACCTGAGCGACAGGGCAAATACCTTAGTTAAATACGGGATGGTTTTATTCGGACAACATACAAGTTTAGTATTTAAGCCGCATGATATACAACAGTAGTTTCGTCTAATTGCTATCTACTAATCTAATATTATGCAAGCGCGCAAGCATGAAGTGTTTCATAAAAACACTGCTGATTTTTAATTTCTTGATATTTGACAATTAGTTTTGTACAGAGCGGAATGTTATCCATTTTTCGCCTCAGCAATTTGTTCCAGTTAAACATCTGCACGTCTAATATCAAACCTTGAAAGGTTAGACTAATATTCCTATAATTGGTTAAGCACACAAAAATTCATACTGCCACTTTAAGTTTGCATTCCAGGCAGTAAAAGCTCACCTTTTTGAAATACAGCAAACAAATATGCCACATCATAACTGATGCAGCCATCCAAGTTGAAGTTAAATAAGGACTCCGTGCGTAAGGCAATCTCTGCATTGCTCATTGAATCAAGTTGTATTCCGTCTAGTGAATTATTTAGATCCAAGTTCAAAATTATTGCATTTCGGTATGCAAGTTTAACTTGATATACACAGTTGTAAAATGGTCCAGTCCGAATAACAAATGTATACGTGCGTACAAACTGCAATTTATGCAAACGTTGGCATGATTACCCACTGTCATTGTGGAGCAGCTGGTTTCTCCATACCAGTGCTCGAACAAAAGAGGATATTAGCATCGCCCCTTAATTCAAATGCAGTAAGGCCTGCCCTGTTGTTAAATTTGGTGTAAATGTTATATTACAGAAATTGTGTTCTATCGTTAGCAACTTAATCAGCGTTAACAGTGATACAAAAAATATATAGAACAATACGTGGTTTGATTCTGCCAATGTTAACAGTTTATTTTAAACACAAAATTATGCCAAGCGGATAAGCGTTCCCTTGAAAGGTTAAAGAATTGCTTGGTCCTAAGTCACCGATTTTATTTTATACATTTAGGTAATAGTTAGCGAGCTTTGTACATAATCTTGTTCAGAGAAATATTTCTTGTTGTATTTTTCATACCAGTTTGTTTTCTTAATTCAAAGCTTTGTCATCATAAAGCCAACACAGTAACGCTATATTTCAAATAGTATGGTTCCATTTATACACATGAATTTTGTTTGACGCCTGAACAAAACGATTGCTATCCACATTCGCCAGTACGACCTATGACATGACACCTAAAAGATAGGAGGATCCATTCGTAAATATCCATATCATTTGATGCGGTTATCTGTTTTTACCCTGCGTCAACTTTTTGAGTTGCAAATGAAAGCCAGGCTTCGCACTGTTATTCCAATCAGAACATGTTAGAAACTATTAGTTATATAATATGCTTATGTACCTGTAATTCTTGATCCAAAATTTTTATTTCCGACCTTGAAATATATTTGGTGAATCCAAAACCTTGTTTCAAACTCTTCAAATTTTGACAAGCAAAGTAGTTTTCCAAATTGATATGCTTTGTAGATAACTCTCGTCAGGAATTTACATTTATGATGGGGATTAATCAAATGCGGGACCAAACTAGAGGTCGAGTGATGGTGGTTAGTTGGCAATTTAAAATGGGTCACTGAAGTCAATCTATAGTTATATCAAGGATGTCAAGAGGTGGAAGAAGCTAAGACACCGCGTCTTTCGTATACAAATAGACAAAAAGCGAAAGCAAGAACGCAGCGGCTGAAGAGCAACCTAATTTGCTATTATCCCTTACTTCAGCTGGTCGGTAAACGGGGTTAGTAAATAATTCTATAAATATGTATTTGTAAACAAGCGGTGATGGAAAGCAAATCCCTGGAAAATATTGAGGGTGTTCTCCCAATAAAGGACAACCAAGTAACGATAGATTCAATATATATATATATATAAACAGATGTGTAAACGCAGTTGACCAAACATAAGTTTGCTCCAAACCATGTGAAGATAAAACAGTTTTGCGTCCTGTTAATTATTGACTACATACATAAGATATTTAATGCAAGTACGCGTGACAAATCTTGGTAGAGTTCTTAAGCACAAGTATTAAATATCATTACCATCAACGTTTCTAGATACAAACTTTTTTGCCTAGACCGCTGATGATCAAATTGCAATCACAATAGCCAACACAAAACTACCCAGCAGTTATGTATTTGTTATGTCTTTTAAGTTAACGGTAAATCATCTGTGCTTTATTATATAAATTGAAAAATATACATAATTAGATTATATATAAAAGCTGCATGCATATACAGGACATAAAGTCTGACATGAAACGCACCCAGTTGCATACATCGTGTTGATCATGGTTGCCGACATCACTTATGATTATGGCTGTTTACGTAAGAAGTTAAAACTAAAATTAGCTCATATTAATAAAGCACAAGTTACCCATAAAAAGTTAAATTACTCATCAGTATGTGATAAATTACCTAGAACACTAATATAATGGAATATATTTTTTTATCCACAGCACTACCTTACGTTTTAATTATAGCTGTGCTGTAAACAATGCTTAGTTTAGAAACATTATATATCACTGAATAAATTTCCCTAACTGGGTACTTGCTCACCGTTTTCAGTCGAAATAAGCCAACGTCTACATTTGGTGAAACTATCATCAGGTTACAAGTCAATGCATTCCGGTTTTCAGAAAAAGTGGTAGAAACGAAAATTTAGTGGGTTAAAACTCTACTTCATAAATCACTTGTTTACTAGTCAAGTGACTGTTTTGATTTTATTAGTAAATTCGGACGCTTAGATATAAGTGAGATAAACCCAGGATGCGGTACTGATGAACGGCTGGCTAGCAGTATGTTAGGAAGTATAATGGGTTTGCAAAAGCGTGCTATATATGGTCAATTACAGTAGATTATAGCAGGATGAAATTAAGTAGCTCAAACAATGAAAAATCCAATGTGGTGACAAGCTACATTTAGATGCGCAGACTTCACTATGAAACATACGAGATAATAATTTCAATAACGCGTAACATCGTACAAAATATCATACACGCATCTATGATAGAGGCCGTTTGTTATGATAAGCTGCGATTTATATTTTGTGTGCTTACTCTTCTAGAAGGTTGCAAGGAAATCTGTAGTTAACACGTAGCAAAACATTTATTTCGGCTGCACTGAAACGACCGGACAAATTAAAATTTATTTGAGGTTGAAGTCTTTTGCCAGCTTAGGCACAACATGGCTGCACACCTGTTAAGAAATTTCCAAAATCATGCGCAGTTTATTGCATGTACCAAAAATCGCAGGGAAACTGGTTATAAGATGATTGAATATATGCACCTATTATAAAGCAAGGCAGGGGCGTTATAAATGGTTGCAATATTCAAATATCGATTTTGAAATTATGCCGCAGTGTTCAATTAAAATGTGCTTTATTTTATCTTTAAAAATCTATTAATAGCTATTGCCAAATAACATACCTAATATAAACGTCTGCCTGGTGTCAATTCATAAAAACCCTGTCACGTGTAAAAACGTTCCCTTAATTCTATTGACATAACGGATACACACAACATTACGAAAAAGAGAATTTTCCTGCATTTAATTAGGAGTTGTCAACTCGTTCAAGTGGAGTTTTTGTGCAAATGAATATCAAAATAATATATGACTTTGCTGTTTACTTAATCTTCGCCATCCAGAGCCTGTAGTTACGGACTCCACTGATACACATAGGTTCCCGTTGTGATTAATAATGTGTGCAATAGAACCTAAAGTTCTAAACAAATCCACCGATAGCAGTCTTGAAGTCGGAAGTATTTTCATTCTAAGTTGAAAGTAAGAGGTTCGGTGGTTTTCTTCCTCTGTCTGGCTTACAACGGCATAACATCCAATGAGTGGTTGACCATTCAATGTGTGGTGTGCTATACTTAGCAGCTGAAAATAAAACGTAACATTGTTTTACACGAGATGCCATTAAATCTACGGTATTTAAAATTGTGAGTTGCAACTAGCATACATCCATGAAACTACCTCGTTATACTATTATGTTCCATTGCTGTACAAAATATATTACACAGAAACGGTTATACTGATGTAAAATTAACGTGAGCATTGCTGCTCCGACAGACAAAGCATAGCATGTGCATCAAAATGATTGCGTTTCGATTCATGACGGAACTATTATTATAACATATGTTTTACCGTAAAGAGTAAGTATTTTGGAAACAATGTTTTGAGAATACTTAATTAAAAATGGTTGTTTAATTTAACTAAAACAAATGCAGGTATGTCATATACAACCTGTCAGGGGTAAAGCTCTACTTTTATGTAGCCGTTATAGCACAAAATAGCAAAGTACTTATACAACATTTTAAAAAATATATGGTAATCATCTTATTTTAAACCAGGCTACTTCTATATATTTATCATACTTGTTCTTACACAAGTTTTGACACAGGTTTTACGTCGCCTAAATAGCTAGTGAGATTACAAACGTTAGACTTACTAAGTGTTTTCTCTAAGAGATTGACTGTTATTTGGAATTCATTAGAATAGTAGAGAGCAGAAGGAGATCCTGCGTCAGCTCCCTCACTTCTCGTTCAAAGCAGGAATATCGCGAGTCGTTGCGAAGCATTGTTCCACAGGGGACCATTAAGATCGCAGCGGAAACAACATAATCCTTGCTTCAGCAGTAGATTTAAGTCCAGTGGTCATTTCAAACGTTTGTCACACTGCTGCTTACAACTGACTCAGATAGCTTGGTCTAGTTCTTCACCACATTGGCGGACAAGGTAACATCGGAATGGACTCGGAGCATCCTCGGCTTAAACCGTTTTCAGAATTGACGCCTTGTCGATTTATCACAACTTATTTGCAAGAACTCCTTCTATTTCATTTCATTTCTCCTACGCCAGATGCCTCTGGGACATAAGCGATCGCCTTGACGACGACAATAATCAATGAAACACGTGTTCATCATTCGAAGTCGTTCTGTGGAGGACAAATTCCGGATAGCTTGTGTCTATTTCGATCCTCGCATCTGGAACCACTCTATGCGGAAACGTTCGCGGTTTTGTATGCGAATAAACCGTAGGTGAACAAGATTCGAGAAAAAGACGCACAGGGGAAGTAGAAAGGAGTATAACAATCTCACATGCGAGGCGGGAAAAAGAGCACCTTATGCCACAGAACACGCTATTAGCTGCTGCTTCCCTCCTATACGTGTCCTGGATTATGCGCATTTCAGGAGACACAAGCACACTAAGTTACTTCGAGCAAGCAGTGATTTTGAACAAGAAATCACCATGATGATAATCACAACAGTGGCATAGATCAACGATAGCAATGATAGAGCATTTATCATAATTGATATGTTATTGCAACTCTAGTGAACAGCTGCGCAGCCGACTTAGCGTCGCTGGCAGTCAGTCATCCTCGTCGAATTTGAACATCTCTAGCTATAGCTTTAAGTCCTTAGTATACAGCAAACAATCCCCCAGGGGCTCTGTTGTGTAGTCGTCTATGGATACTCCAAACAATGTGGGACCGAATATAAAGCTATGCGGAACTCCAGTAATCATCCGGAGGGGCTTAATGTAAGTCTTATCTATATTTACAGGCGTATTACGGCAATTCCAAAAATTGACGATCCAAACGAAAATATACCAATGGACAGCATTTCCTAGACGTTTAAGTAAAAGCTGTTCGTCGGGACTTTATCAAAGGCTTTTCTGTAGCCGACAAAGACGACGTCCAGGCAATTGCCGACACCCAAATATTTGGCCTCTTTTT